CTTTCTTATACGATATGCTTGACGATTTGTTGGAACAAGCTTAATTTGCCTTGATGGAGGTCATAGTTATACAAATTATAGCGAGTCGAGTAAGATGAAAGTTCAACTTAGCATGAAAGAAAAAAAGTGCCTCAAAATCGTGAAGCTGGGAATGTCATACTAATAAAAAAACATTCGTTGCCTGTCTTGTATAGCACTGCATGTTTTTTAAAGATTGACAGTAAATCGATGAACCTTCATTTGTCCCAGAAAATAGGCTGACTGATTATTTAAGGGAAGCACTTATTTTATTTGTTCGATTTAACACTTGAAATATTCTTTGAAATTATCTGATTGATTTAATTACTTGTGCAGGATCGGAGAAACTAATTCTATTGGACGCACTTACCATATTGAGGGATCAAAAGATGTAAGTCCAAACTTTCCATATCTGAGAGTAAATCACGGAACTTCCCTTCTCGAGCGTGACTTGGCAGCGAAGACTTCCTGGACTTACCATATTTGAGAATGAGATAAAAGTGGTTGTGCGGCGACGAAGAGAAGAAGTTTTGAATAATTATCTTTTATCTACCTCTCGAGAATTTTTGGTGTAAAGAGTTTCTTTTTATTATTTTAATTGAGTGGTGATTTAAGAGAGTGTTCTCAATTACGTTTGAGGAATTAATTTGTTTCTAGTAAACTAAGTGTTCGAGAGGAGTACTAAGTATCGTTTGAGGGATTCAAACTCGAAAAACCACAAGGGAATTGTGGGATAAGTAGTTGTGTAGGTTGCCGTATCAAGTAGAGTGTAGAGGGAGTTTGCACTGTAAACCGTTGGTAAATGGTTGGGAGATCTATACTAATGAAAGAGATCTGATGGGAGAGTAGGACGCTCTCCTGAACGTTTAGTTTGAGAATTCAGCTTCCGCAATTTTGTGAACTTTACTTTAAGTTTATTGTTAATTCTTTTTGCGCTTATTCTGGTTTGTTCATGATATGTGTACACAACTCCAATAACGAAAGCCACTTTCGTCTTAAATTCCGAATGTCTAGGCGATTATTTTGTCGGATCGATGTCCAAGGTTATTTTAATTATTTTAAGTATAGAGCTAATGCGGAACGAAGACTAGGTTTTACATCAATTTACTTGTGTACTACAACTATACGTTAACTATCGTAGAGAGCTCCTACCGATCAATGTGATGAATACCTCATATGTCAAAGCATATGACAAATGAAAGTATGCTCGAGTTATGTCGTGTAATACAAAGAATATATGCACCCCAATATTTGCAATCCTAATGCCAATGGCATCCAAAGAATATTTTACATTACACGAGGAGGAGAACATGGTTTCTTTGACATGTTGGGAACAATGTCAGAGGTAGATAGGGCCCAGAGCGAGAAAGGAAATCAGAGACAAAGAAAGGAAAGAGTTTTTTTCTACCAAAATGGCAAAATACATTCATCTTCACCAAATTTACGCATTTGGTGTCGCTTATATTTCGATATTATTGATATAAGATTTCAGAGAAAACTTACATCATTCAATTTAAAACTATAAAACTAACTTACTAAGGTGATCGATAAGATCATTTAATTTATTAATTTCTTTAACCATGCAACACACACATTCATTTTACTAGTCTAAAAAAGGAATGGAAAATATGTTATTACTAATTTAAGTCTTGCCTCAATTAATATATGTATAGGTGAGCCATAACCACAAAGAAATCAATCGGAAAATAAAATAAACTAGGAGGAGATAAACTTAAAATACAAGACAAGCAACTATTGGGTTCAGTACACATATTGAATTGCTTGCACTGTTGCACATGCACAACATATCTCATTCAGTCTGAGACAAATTGACTTTCCCTTGAAACAATGAAATGAAACCACACTCTCCTGCTGGTTGCACAGCTAAATACTTATTTAATACCATTGACAATAGAAACACACCATAATTCCAATTCATTTGAAGAATGCAATTAGTGTTTGATCTTCGGCTTCTTCACTATCATGACCGAGCAGTGAGCATGGTGAGAGCAATAATCACTTACGCTGCCTAAAACAGCTCTGCACGTACACCACCATGTTGTATTCAAAATCATAAATTAGAACTCAATCGAAAAGCCAAAGCCAATACTTCGTCAATTTTCAAATTTGTGATGAAAAAAAACAGAGAAATGTACCGTTTAATAGCTCCATAACCATGGCTGCCAACAACCAACACAGAAGCGTGGTGCTTCTCCACAGCCTCACAGAGAACACCCCTGGCATCACCCTCGACAACTTCAAATATCACATCATTCACCTGCGTAAGATTAACATGTACATTCTCTACTTAAAAATTAAAAAAAAAAAACCCTCTAATTATGAAATGATGTTTCATCTCTTAATTTTTTTTCACCCTACTATTAGAAGGAATGTTTTTCCCCTTTCTCATTATCTGATGGGATTTGCATGAAAATTTCATCTAGTGCCCACATGGGGTTTTTGACTATTGGATCAACACATACTTACACGGATTGAACTTGCCATAAGTGGGCCTGATTAATCAATTCAACTAGACTTGGTTTTCTATCATATGTGCAGAAGGCAAATACAGCAGGATCAAAACACCAGGTATTTAAAACGTTAACCAGTAATTTCCAATCAGTTCATCAGTAATTTCCAATTAGCTTAATAGGAAGATGTTACGGTCCTGTTACGGAACTATTCCGTCGGAGTTTTTAACCGTTAGATCAACTATTCCGACGGTTACATGATAATCTGACGGTTACAAATCCCATACGGAATGGTTCCAAAGCGACGGGACCGTAGCATTTCCCAGCTTAATATTCATTGCAACAAAACAAAAATTTACACAAGGGGGATTATTTCTTCACAAACGAAGCAACAAATTTGTTCAGTTGCAGACTGCAGCTATAGAATTAAGTGTTAAATGATAAATTACCGATTTAGCAGCGCAAGTTTCCTTGGCCTTCTCCAAAACCCTGGCCGCAATCTTCTTCAGATCCATGTCCACATAAGGCAGTACCTCGGCAGCACCTGCAAATTACAAAAAAAAAAACCATCAAACAATTGCTCCGAAATTTTCTTTTAAAATTGAGCAGAAATTCCCAAATCAAATGTCAATTCCGCTTAAAAAATTCTCGAATCGCGAATATTTACTGGGGCCAACAAGGCCGACGGCGGTCGCCGGAGAAGGCTTGGCGTGGACCACAACGAGCTTGAAATGGGAACTTTCCGGCGGGCCGGAGAAGAAGTGATCGAGAGTCCAACTCAAAGCGTAGAAGCCGTGTTCGCTGTCGTCGAGGCCTATCACCATCACCGATTTCGCCATGGCTGCAAAGCTCGATCAAAGCTTAACAGAGTAAATTTATCAGCTGTTATAAGTGATTGAAATCAGAGAATTTGGGGCCTCTTAACAGTGGAGAATTGATTCCTTTTTCTGTGCAGGTATAATGATGCGGAAAATTTGGTGGTGCTTCAAAAATCTATAGCTGTTTGTTTCTCTTTTGATTGAAGCTTCTGGACGTGGCGGCCATATCGTGGTCCATTTCGCAATTTTACGTAACCGTATTCCTTTTGTCTTCTAAAAAGTGTTTTTTTTTTTTTTTTT